AAAAAAAAAAAAGATATTTATGTCATGGATTGTTTTGGCTGTGCTCTCTTCTATATACTATATGGTATAGTCTTTTATCCATTTTGTGTTTTATTTTTGTATATGGTGTGAGATAGTATTCTAGTTTCATTCTTTTGCAGTTGATTTTTCTCAAAATTTATTGAAGAGGCATTCCTTGTTCCAGTGTATATTCTTTACTCCTTTGTTGTAGATGAGTTGACTATATATGTATGGTTTTATTCTGGTGTGTATGTCTGATTTTGTTCAGTACCATCTTGTTTTTATTTTAATGGCTTTGTAGTATTGTTTGAAGTTTGGGAGTGTAAGTCCTCCATTCTTCACCCTTTTAGTCAGGAGAGCTTTTTGATTTTGTTGAATTGTGTAAAGTCTTTGTAGATCTTTCGTATCAGTCCCTTATTGGTTATATGATGTGCAAATATTTTTCTGCCACTTAGTGGGATGTCTCTTCATTTTGTGATTCCATATGAATTTCAACAATATTTGTTCCATTTCTTTGAAGAATGCCATTTAGATTTTTTTTTTAAGATTTATTTATTTATGTATACAGAACTGGGTGCAGGCCAGAGGTACAGGGGTGGTGAGAGCATTCACCAGGGACAGAGTGGGGAGCAGAACAGGCAGATCGACGAAGTACACTGCTGAGGGGAGGAACGGGCGGGTCAAGAGAGGTCTGTCACGCCATGTGGATCACCTCCGGGGCAGGCGGGGATTGAACTCATGCTGAAGTGGCTTTAGCTTCTTAGTGCTGCGCTTTAACCTGCTGCGCCACCAGGGAGGGCCCGCCATTTAGATTTTTATTGGAATTGCATTGAATCTGTAAAGTTACTCTTGTAAAGGGTGGCCATTTTGATAATTCTTCTAATCTTTGAACAGGGAATATTTTTCCATTTACCTGTGTCATCTAGTTCTTCAAATGTCTGTTTTATTTCAAGCCTGCTAATTTAATAACTAAGTAACCTGTATTTTCCGTAATAGATATGACTATTTTAAAGAGATGTTTGACTTCATATAGTATAATTTTCTTTTCAAAATACCTGAAAATTTTAAAACTTTTCATTAAGAGTTTTTGCCACCAAAATTTATATCATGTTTTACTTGCATTCTCATTTTACATCTTTTTTTTTTCACCTAGAAATATTCAGATTTTAAAACAACAATTAAGTGGATTGTGGGAACAAGAAAACCATCTTACTTTGGTTCCAGGATATACTGGTAATATAGCTAAGGTAAACTATATTTAAACTTAATATATTAAACTTAAGATCTGTATTTAAGCTTATTTTAAAGTTAGGAGTAATGTATTATCATGCATTTATAAATAAATTTTTCACATCTCTCAGCAGAATAATTAAGTTCTATTCTAGTAAGATCTAAAGCTAATTTCAAATTCATAAATGCTTCAGGTCTCTAGACATAAATGTGAACTCCTTAACTAGCCACTGAATATGGTTCATATACAGACACACAAGTGACATACAGAAGATATTTAATGACTTAGTTCCAATTAGAGAAAAATATTTGAAAAAATGTATCAGAAAAGTGACACATAGAAAGCAAGAGGGGAGGAAAACATTCAGAAGGTTTGAGCTATTCATTTTTACTGGACTTTTGCTGATGTCATGTTTTTCAGGGAAAGTTCAAACTACAGGATGAACTTGACATTGATCTATATTGATTTGCTTGTCTCTTAGAATTTTAATATTTAAACTCTAGAAAACATTGCTAGTTAAAATATTATTTCAGGGGGGGAAATCATTGTTAAAAAGTATTTCCAGTCTTTTACTGGGCATACTGCTGCCATAAATGGGCATTAGCCAGAAATGTAAAACATTCTTTGATTTTAAGAAATATATTCTAAATAGTATGTTTTGTGTCATAGATTTGTAAAATCCTTCTTGTATACCTTCAATAAAAGAATCAAAATGATGTTAACCTAAAAGTTCAGGAGACTATTAAAAAGGCAAAGCATGTTTAGTTGGATTCAGAAAGTTGCAATTTAGGTTACACAGATTTCAGGTAGAAAAGATACTTAAAGGTGAGGCAAAGTCAGGGTTTTCATGGAAAGAAGAGAGGAAGATTAATTGAAGAGACCAAAAAAAGCTATAGTTAGGAAGTTTCCTAAGTGTCCATGATAGAGGATACGCTAAAGAAGTGGTATACACATGTAGCACAATGAAATACTATTCAGATTTAATGGAAAATGAAATCTTATGACTTACAGCAAAATGGAGAACCTTTTGGGTATTATATGAAGCCAAGTCAGAAAGATAAAGACATATAGAACGATTTCACATATATGAGTAAAAATAGAAGGAAACAAAGCCGGTGAAATGACAAAGCAAAATAATTATAAGCTAGCAGGTATAGATAACCAAAGTTTTGGAGGTTAAGAAGGAGAGAGAAGGGAGAATGGATCATAGGGATGCCAAGGGTAGGAGGGAAAAACAGCAAACAACCATTTGTATTTAATACACTGTAAGGTTAATGTAATCGCTACTGAATGTTAATGGAATAGAATTAAATAGACAAATTACTGGAAAAGAAAAAGTCGGCTAGTGTTGACATGTTTAAATTATTCTTGGCATAGCTAGTTACTGATTCTTTAGAAAGAATGAAAAGAAAGATAAACACATAGTGGATGATTTCACATTTATGAGTAAATATAAGAAAATAGAGCAGGTGAACTGACAGCAAAATAATTACAAACTAGCAGACACTGATAATTGAAGTTTCTGAAGTTAAAAGAGTGAGGGAAGGGAGAAAGGATCAAGGGGATACTAAAGATGGCTAAAAGTCTATTGTAGTCAGTTCTCATGATCTGGATAACTTCTCCAGCAATTGATTGATGCTTTCTTAAAACAATTGCTTTTTGGTTCAGTTCAAAGATCTTTAGCCCTGTTCAAATGAGACAGGTAAATACAATTTCGCTGTAAAGGCTCTCTGCTTTCATTTTGAAAACTACTTCACAGATGTCAGATTTTCACTGTTATATCAAGCAAGTATGTTACCACTGTGTATAAATGATATATAAATGTAGAATTTTTAATGATGAAAATCTTAAAAGCAGACATCAATTTCTTTGAAGTTTTTTGTTGTATAGTTTGTTGGTATTTTGATAGTTGGGGTTAGGAGTGAAATGAAGTAAAAGTTGATAGAAAAAGAACATTTGATATATAACAACTATGTTCTATAATTTCCTTATATTCTTGATATATAACTTAGCAATTACCATTTCCCTAGAAATTTGCATAAAAAAGAAATTTGCTTTCAATTATAATTTTTTGGTGAAGGGAGAAACTACTGCATCTGCTCTTAGGATACTAAACACATTAATTACTGAATATTGATTGATTAGAAGTTCTGTGAAGTTCATTATGATAAAACTTACAATATTAAACCTTCAAATATCATTTTCTTGAGTGTAAAAATCAGGTTATCATCAAGTTGGTCTAAAATGTTTGTGACACTGAGGAAATTACTATGAATGATTTAGTGATTTTGCTTAGCTACTAAAGCAGTTGTTTTAGCACAGGAATTAGGCCATTCATTCAGCATTGAGAAAATACATATTCAGTATGGGCTATGTGTGAAATCCAATGCTAAACATATACAGATAAAAAATTTCTAAGGGCCTCCCTCATGGGGCAGATTACAGTGCTGGCAAGCTATTGCCAAGCTACTGCAGCATGAGTTTGATCCCTGGCCAGGAAGCTAACACACATAGTGCAGCAGACCTCTCCTGTCTCACCTGCTGCTCCCTTCAGCAGTGTATTTTAGTAGATCCACCTGTTCTACTCCCTATTCTGTATCTGGTGAATCTTCTTGGCACCTTCCCCCCCCGCCCCCCATCTCTTCTGGCCTATACACCAGTTCTTGTATGTATAAATAAAAAATAAATTACTCTTAAAAAAAAAAAACAATTTCTAAGACACCTCTTTTTTTTTGATGAGGATTTATTTTTTTAAAGGTTTATTTATTTATGCATACCAAAATGAGGTACAAACCACAGGTGCAGGAGTGGTGAGAGGCTTCACCAGAGACAGAGTGGGGAGCAGAACAGGTAGATAGACAAAGTACACTGCTGAGGGGAGCAGTGGGCGGGTCAGGAGAGGTCTGCCACAACATGTGGATTACCTCCCAGGCAAGGGACCAAACTCTGCACTGAAGTGGCTGTGGCTAGCTTGCAGTGCTGCGTCCTAACTTGTTGCACCACCAGGGAGGGCCCTAAGACACTTCTTTTATCCTCAAAAGGTCACAAAGGCGAACGAAGGCATTTTAAGTGAGAAATGGGAGAAGAAAATGAATTGTATAAATGTACTTACTGTACTAGCTAATGAATTGTTTTTGTTTTCTTTTCAAAGGATGTAGATGCTTATTTATTACAGTTGCATTGAGAAACTCTGCTAGAGAGCATTTTGTTATTTAAAACATCCCTGGACTATATGATTTCCATTAAGAATGTACCATCTGAGAACCAAACTGAGGAAGAAATTAAACCATTTTTTTCTTTAAGAAGCTACATAATGAAACCACTAATGGAAGCCTAATCATCTACTTCACATTGAAGTGGAAAAATACCTGAAAGGAGCAGCTTCAGCTTCAATGAGGTGAAAGTGCACTATGAAGATTGTTCGCCTTCGCTGCATTTGGGATTTACATGGTTTTTGGTAGCATTGTTTAAGAACTACTGGGTCTTATTGCAATCCTGCATAAGAATATAATTTATACTGTGTGAGAAAATAAGACAGGACTTATTTCTAGGAACCACAAAGTCATCTTTTAAAGATTGTGTTTTATAAAACACTTAAATGTGTGCAGCTATTTTCTTATGTTGGAAGGACTTTGAAAGTTAAAAACATCATAGCAAGTAATCAATACTAAAAATGTTTTGTCCACACTGAGATACTGTGTATACAAAATGCCTTAATTATTAATAAGCCAATGTGTATGATACCGATACCTGTTTTTAAAAAATTAAAACCAAACCAAACATGTTTCTGGCATGATAAAATCATGGAATTAAATCAGGGGTTTCCATTTACATAGAATGTTAAAACTATTCCACATCATTTTTAAAGCTTGACACTATTTTAGAATCTCTGATTTTTTTTTTTGCCAGAATTATGTATGTATGTGTTATTCCTATGTAAAAGAAAAAGGTGAATATGTATTTGTATGAATGCTTATTAACTGGATATGTCTGTGGAATTAGCTAATTTATATTCACTTTTCATTGTATATGAATTTCTAATATCAGTTCTGTATCATTTAAACCCCTTTCATTTTGAGTAAATTCACTAAATATTTCTATTTTTTGCTTTTTTATCATTTTTTATGATTTCTAATTTCTTTCCACTACATATGTTTTAAAGAATTAAATATGATGCTTTAGAAATGTTTACACTTAGTACTGACTTTATATTTTAAATTCTGACACTTCTTATTACTACCTCCTGTAATGGTTTGTATGAAATGCCAGCACACTGTACGAGTTGTATTTTTTTTTTTTTTAAGTAACATTTCTAATGTCAGTGAACCCTCTTCTGGAATGCCTGAATCTGACCTACCATAAAAATAATTGGGTTTCATACCACTGTTGGTGGTGTGTACATCATCTCATCTTTAATAAGCCTGAGAAGCATCTGAGCAAAAATTTTTAGTAATCTATTTTTTTCTGCAGAAATTCTTCAAGCACTTGAATGTAAGTCTTTAACATTTACCTAATTAACAACTACTGATGTAAATTCCACCAAGCATCTTTATTGCTTTAAAACTGTTACCTTCCACTGAGTTCTATTAATTGTGTAGCTATATTTCATATAGGTATGTATCTATCACAGTGAATATCATTTGTAATAATTCATTATTTTCTTAAAATAATTCTAAATTATTCTTAGGATAATTTCAGATTACTGTATTTCTGTGATTTGAGAATTAAGTCATTTTTCAGGAGGTAGGATTTAAATTATAAACCTCATCTCTGTGAAACTTTACAGTGATGAAATACAATCTTTTTTTGTTCGGTTGCTTTAGTTATCACCATTTTATCTAACAGTTTGAACCACTTGGAGCTTGGTGCTAATGAGGCTAAAGACAGGAATTTGATCCTTTTAGAAACCCTTTAACTTTATACACATATACAGAAATAAGACTACAGATTATACTTTCTCTTAGGTACCCATCTCATAAATTCAACTCTTAGTCACAGAAAGGATAGTATGTATAGGGCTAATATAAAAACTTCACCACAGATGAAAAGATAACTCAAATAATTGGTATTTGTGATATTACAGATTTTAATATAACATTTAAATAATAATATAGGGCTTCCCTGATGGTGCAAGCAATTAAATCCCAGCACTATGAAACTATTGGCAGCCACCACGGCACCAGTTTGATCCTCAGCCAAGGAGGTGACCCACATGGCAGGCAGATTGCTCCTGTCTTGCCTGCTGCTCCCCTTAGCAGTATTTCAGTCAATCTGCTTGTTCTGCTCTGCACTCTTGTCTCTGGCCCCCCAGACCTCTGGCCTATACCCCAGCTCTTATATGTGTAATAATAACTCTTTTAAAAATATATAGGCAAAATACTGTGTCATTATTGTTTCCTCTGGGTTCGATCATTGACAAAACCATACCTTTAAAAAAATCAAACTTCAGTGAAGCAAACAGTAAAAATTAAATACAAATATAAGTGAAAAATAATATTTTCACTTACAAGTGAAACAGAAAAGGTACTATCCTATTAATAGTGAGTTCTTGTGCCTAAGTTTGGGCTTGTTGGAGAACAGATAACTTTATATTTTATATACCCAAAGTAATGTAAGTCAGCAAAATCTTTAATTCACAAATATTGTACTGTAGCACACACTCCTGATTTCTTTGCCTTTGCAGTTTACCTTAGTACCTACCTCTCTCAGTTACTGAGTTGTGATTAGTATTAGGCAATTTTAAGATTTTTGGATAAAAGATTTTAGATAAATATTGTCGAATACTTCTGCGCTATTTGTGCTTTTCCTGATGTTTAATCAGAATAGTATTGATCTTCAGAAAGAGCCAAAGACAAAAACTGTTTATAGAGTATTTTGGCTGTTGTATTGACTTACATGAAGACAGTTGCTGTCTGTCATTGCTCATTTGTTGCTGTGCTGCTAAGCAATGTACAGACGTGAATGATTACCCAAAGTCTATGCTTTTTACCTTTCTGTACCTTGCTAATTTGGCAAAAAAAAATTTATTGAGCTGATGAGAGTTGTAATCAGTTTTCTTCTACTAGGGATTAAAATGAATGGATTTTGTAATAAGTGATCATGCAGAATAAAGGTTAAAAGTTAGGAAGCAACTCAGATGGTTTAAAAAAAAATTTTTTTTTTTTTGGAGTAATTGAATCCTAGTTACAGGAATCCTAGATATGAGGGTGGAGGTATAGGTATCTAGTCCACTTTGGGGGGTTATTAATAGCAACATTGAATTCTAGGGAATACTGAGAAATTAAATCCTAAATTCATAGTCATGCTTAGTATATATATCATGTCCTAATCTTAAAAATGGTAATATGGGCTCAGTTGTATTTCTGGCCTTTGAAATAGAATTCAAACTTAGAATATTTCCATATTTTGCAAGTTGTTAGGATTAACATTAATGGTAATTAATTTGAGTAATGATTAATTATTAAATGCTTACTATAGAAATCTTTTTCATGTTTATTTTACTTAAATTAATCAAAAAGTTTGAAAAAGCAAAATTTTAAGTTAGTCTTCCCACTTGTGTTTCCTTCTATTTAAAAATAAAATGCTAATGTCAGTTGCCTTTGTTTATTTAAAGAAAATAAAAATAGAATCACAAGCAGCTGACACAACTGGAATGACCCATTTGGATGTACTAATCTTTCAACACAAATTTTTATTTTCTGGATTACTTCAGATGTAAATAGTATTGCTGGACATTTGTTGGTAGGTATTTACAACTAAGTTACTATTTCTCTCTTAATTTCTTGTTCAGCTGTCTATGAAAATTGTCATAAAACTTTATGATGTACTGTCCTCCTTTTTTAAAATCTATAATAGGAAGATAGAAGAAAAGATTATCCCTAAACTAGTATGCTTCTAATTTGTAATATAGCTTCAAATTATGACTCACTAATAGAAATGCGTGTACAAGAAAAATAAACAAATGTATATCATATACTCATTATACTGAGTATGTTTTGCAGTGTACCTAAAACAGTATTTAGTGTAGTCATTATAATTTTCTCTGGGTCAGATTATTTACTTAACACTCTGTGAACATCAAACTCTAGTAAAAATTGTGTACAGCTACAGGTAAGTGAATATGTCACAGTATTTTTTTCTTATAGATTCAACACAGAAGGGCATAGTTTCTGTGTAAGGGCAACACCACAACTGTCAAAATACTATTTTGCAAAGATAGTTATATGTTATTGCTTTGATATACAGAGTTACAATTCTCTGAGTTAGTTGTTGAATGGTAGATGCATGCAGTCTAGATCAAGATTCAGCTCTCAAATACACTGAATCTGGTGTTGTTTTTTATGTTTTATAATATTCTGTTTTTCATTCAAATTTAACCAGGTTTTTGTTGTTGTTGTTGTTTTTTAAATATCCTGGACCTGGCTAAGATTGTTGTAGTGCTATAAATTTACACCAAAGCCAGTAAGAGTTGATCCGAAGTATTTTCTAAGATAAGGAAAAGTTGTCATGAGGGTTCTGGAATGCATTGAATTGCCAGAATTTCTTGCTTCTGGAGTTAACCTATTTCATTTATCAACTGAATTTGCAATACAGAGACTTGACTGGTATTATATATATGTCACCTTTCAAGAATCAAGAGTATAGTTCGCTTCTACTTACTCCTTTCATTTTAAAAAGAAAAAAAAAACTTCATTATGTCTTTGTATGAAATTTGTTGAATGGGTGAGTGAGGACACTCAGCTTGACTAGCCTGACAGTACACACACAAGTTCTTCTCAGTGTAAGTGCACTTAGCCTAAGCAACAGCCAGAGAGATGGAGGCGGATAACTTTCTTTGAGCCGAATCTAACACTTACAAAAAGTTCAGAAGAAGCCTATCTTTTCCCCTTAGTCATTAAGGTACCTTTTACTCTACTTAGGGTAGATGATTTTAAAAAATCTGTACAAGGGAGAATCAGCTCACATCAATCTTTTTTTGAAGGCTTCTCTGTCCCACAGACAGTGGTGGTCTTCAAGGTTCTATGTTAAGGGCTCTTCTTAGTTACCATTTCCTTGAAAAATGTTTACTCCCATGATACTTGTTACCATCTATATAAATTGTCCTCATTTTGAGGTTGGAAGGGAGGCCATTTTTTGGTCTATCAATGGACATAGATTTTTTTAAAGGTGGAGAAAATATTGAACTATATATTTATCATTCTGAAAATACGTAACTTGCCCCAAATGTAACTTATAACTCATAAATCCCACTTGCCTACTGGAAATAATCCATTGAATATCTATAGGCATCCTAAATTCAATATATCCAGAATTAACCTTATGCTTCTCCTCTAATTCCCTCCACCAACTTTAGTCCCTTCTTCCACCTGGAAAAAAGTTTGTTCCTGCTGAGTTCTGGTTTCCATTCTCATTGAAAACTGTAATATCAGCATTTATCAAAACATAAACCTGTGAATCATCCCAAATCACTCATAAATCTTGCTGCTGTAAACCCCTAAATTAATCTTTATATCTTTTCTGCCATTACCTTAATCTAAATTATGTCAACCACATTCTGACTAGTTTCTGTGCATCCCTGTATCCTTTTCTCCATACTTTGTAACCTGGAATAATCTTAAAAGTACAAAGTAAAAGTATTTGTACTTTTACTATGTCAATCCTTAACTTGCTTGGAAGAGAGTCTACAGTATGGTTTAACAAATCTCAGTAATAACCCTCTTTATTGAAAAAACTTTTTTCAGTTTCTGGGAAACCATACATAAATAACTAGTTTGCCTAAATGCCATCTCCCTGAATTTTACCCTTTATCATCATCTTAGCATTCAGGTCTAGGTTAAACAGTTCTGGGAAGCTTCTCTGGAGCCTCTTCATTTATTAGCAGTCTCTGCCATAAACTTTTACCTCAACCCTTTTCTTAATACTCTTACCAGTCTTTTATAATTGCTTATTCTACCATCCTAGCTAGATCAGTTAGCTTCATGATCTTGTTCTCTGTCATATCCCCAGCTGTTTAGAACAACGCCTGACAAATAGTAAGCATTTAGAGTTTATGAATACTCTTACCCTTACCCTATCTGCGGTTTTTTACTTCCCTTGGTTT